CGGTGAGGTCAGGAGCCTGGTGGCAGTCAGCACCTTTTGTGGCAAAACTCTGCGTGTGACCTCTCCAGCGAGGAGGGACAGCCAAGTCCCTGCTCTGCGGACCCCAGCTTGGAGCAGCCCCTGTGCTTTCCCTGCAGGGGACCCGGCTGCAGCCCCCGGTCCTGTACCCGCTGCCACCTGCAGCGCTGCTGCCTTTGCCCTTCCCGGAGGAGAGGGAGAGCCTGGCTTGGTGGTGGGATGCGGCTGGTTGTCTTTCATGCCATCATGCTTTCAGCCTCCTGTGGCTGTCAGCCCAGGCTCCTCCTCTTCCTCTCCTTGCAGCGAGCTCGGTGACCGGCATGCCCGCCTGTGCTGTACAGCTGGGGAAACTGAGGCACGGGGCAGCGATGTGGTTTGCTGTGCAGTGGCAGAGCTGAGATCCAGGCACTCAGGGCCCTGGAGTTAGGCTGTGCCATCCACCCGTGTGGGGCCGGGGCCGATGCCCCGCGGTGCCTGCCCAGCTCCGTGCCCCCCCCCCGGGGCAGGCTGATAAATAATGTGTTTGGAAAACTCAAAACCATCTCAGCCATTGCCCTGAACTTTAATCTGATCCTGAGCAGGGGGCTTGCAGCCGCCCAGGGCTCCCTCGTGCATGTGGGAAATGGAGTTCGCTGTCGTCCGTCTGCGCCCTTGTGGGTGCCGGGTCTGTCCGTCTGCTCGGCCAAATGTCTCTTCCAGCCAGAGCAGGTAGTGGAGCAGGCGTGAGCTGTGGGGGCTGCTCCCTCCTGGGGATTGGCTGGAAGAGGTAGGGTGATTTTTGGGAGCATTTTGGGGGAGACCATTCCTGGCTGGGAAATGGGCTAACAAGGCATCCCCGCAGCCCATGGGGCTCCCCACTTTTCAGGGGTCTCCTCTCTTCCCACGGCCCAGCTCCCACGCCTGCTCCGGCCTCGCTCCCGCCAGCTGGGGAGGTCAGCAATGAGACTTGTCACTCTTCAGCAATGCGGAAAATGTCCCCCAGCCTCTCCAGTGGCGCCGCGCAGGGAGGAGAGGCCGGGTCGGTGGGAGCGGGCCTTCGCTAGCTTTGTTCCTCTGGGCACCCTGCTTGTCTTCTGCTCTGCCGGTCCCCTGCACCCATGGAGACCCATCTGGCTCACCAGGGCGCCTCATTTTTGGGATGCTTTCGCTAGGGTGGGGAGCATGCTTGACCCTAGAGCAAGCCTTTCTTCTTCCCTTTCTGTGACCAAATCTTCCACCAAAATTCACCTCCAAATTTTGAATTCAACCACAAGGATTTGGTCCAGGGAAGTGCCCGGATCCGCCAGAGTTCCTCTGGGTTTTTAGGATCAAGATGGGTCCAGCAGATTCAGCTCCAGGCAATGCAAAAGGGCCAAGGGATGCAGAACGGGGTCCCCACCGTGGCTCCTGCCTGAGAGGCAGCCAGTGATGGCTTCCAGGGGTGGCAGTGAAGCTGCTGGTGTTGGGTGCCACTCTGGGCACCTGCGGCTCTTGTGGGTGGGAGAGCACAGCCCTGCTGCACATCCCGGGAGCATGTAGGATTTCCAAATGTCTGCTTCTAATCCTTGGGGGCTGCTTAGGATTTACATCTGATTAGAAGGGCGATTTAAAAGCCTGCCAGCTGTTGGGTCTGCAGAGGAAAACGTGCCATTTCCAGTCACTGCTGGAATATGTCTTTACCCTAAAACTGGGGTGTTTGCATCTGGGATGGGTTTTGCACTTTATGGAGCCAGGGCCTGCTGGCAAGGTCACTTATGCTTCTGAGATGGGGTTTGGACCTCGTGGACCACTTGGAGTCTGTGCCATGGGCTGATGTCCCTCTTCAGAGGAGACCAGGCGTGGCCCTGGTTGTTTCTTCTGTCTTGGCTGAGCCCAGGGGTGGACCCGGGGTTGGAATGGGACTTCTCCCATGCCACCCTGCTCACACTTCTGTTAAACACATCGTTAAGCTCTTGCTTGTTGTTCAGAATGGGGCTGGGTCTGACCTTCCCATGGGAAGGGAGGAAGGGAGAGGAGCTCATCATGAATCCCCAGGCAGCAAATTCGGTTGGATTCAGCTGAGCAGAACCCCCCCACCTGCTTCCTGGGCTCGTGTTGGATGATGAGCTTTCATCGACCTTGGCTGACCTTGGATGCTGCTCTGAGGGTAAAACAAGGTTTGTCATTCAGAGTGCCTGACCTCGACGGGGCTGGGGCAGCCAGGGCAGGAGGTGGCGTTGGGATGGGGTGCAGGCTTCAGGACAGCTCATGGGACTAAATGCATCCCGATGAGGACTGCGAGTGGGACCCCTCCCATGCGCAGGCTTGGGTGTTGTCCCCAAATGAAGGGTGTTTCCCCCCAAAACTGTGATGTTTCAAGGCAAAGTGGGGTTTGTCAGGTTGTTCACAGCACTCTGATGGAGGATTTCAGGCGCCATGGTTACTGTACTGCTGTGACTTTTTTAAAGCCCATTTTTTTGGATGTAGTAATGATCATCTGCTGTATTAGTGGGGATGGAGAAGCATCCAAACAACCCTGAGGAGGGAACGCTTCCAAATGAAACTTCCACTTGAAAGAAATGTCAGGACGCGGCTCCTTCCTTGCAGTGCACAATTGCCTTATTTTTTTAAATGTCAGCATTTCCCAGAGAACAGCAGGGCTGTTTCAGCCCAGCCGGAGCTGGGAGCTGTGTTAGCGCCCGGGTGCGACTTTCCTGCAGAAAGTGCTCCGAAGGTGCAAATCTTTCTTGGCAGGAGTGAACAAGATCCAGCAGGTCCCATTCCCGGAGGCCGGGCTTCCCGCCCGCAAGCAGCTGGTGCTCCAGCAGCTCACGCTGGGGCAGAGTTAGGCCCCAAGTTTACGGTTATTTTTATTGCTGTGTTTATTACCTCTTAAATTAACCTCCTGGAGGCTGGTGACTTTAAATGGTAGGGAAGGGACCTTGAGCAGCCTGTTGGCGTTGGTTGCGCAAGGTGCCGGTGCTTTTGGCACCTGCCGGGTGCAAGGTGCGTGCTGTGGGGAGATAGAGATGCAAATTCAGGCTGGGCATCCGGCTAGGCTGGGCTTACTGCCCTGCTCACCCATCCCACCCCCTTCAACTTGCCTCCGTGCCGTGCGTGCTGCTGACCGACTTTCTCTGCTGGGGATCCTCCTGCGGGGCTGGAGGGTGCTCTGCCCTGCGGTCCATCGGGGACCCGGAGCGGGGAGCAAACGCCCAGCAGCTCCCCTACGTGCCCATATAAATAACCCAGCGTGGCAGGGACGTGGGAGCAGCACGGAGCGGCAGGACTCCTTGCTGAAGGCTAATGGCCGGATGTCCCAAGCCCTTTTTATAGTTATTAATATTTTCAGTTAATAAATGGTCCATGACACCAGAGTTATTAATTAATGAGTTGGAGTGCCAAGACTTGGCCCATGACAAGTTAATGGCTAACACCCACTGGGTGGCTAAACCTGAGTTGGGCACCTGGCTGTGGTTCACTTCTGGGAGCGACGCTGGTGTCGCTGATCCGCTTCTGCGTGGACCCGAGTGATCCTGTGTGTCCTGGGGGTTATTCACCCGCTTTCTCAAAAGAGCCACTTCCAAATGGGATCTTATTGCTCTGCAAATGCTGTGGGAAAGGGATCCCTCTTGGCCACGGTGATGCTCTCAGCCTGAGCTAATCTGTGTCTAGTCCTAATCGCCCACTGCTTAATCTGCTTGCTGGGGATTTTGGGTAATGATGCGGCCCCGGGCACTGCTTACGGGGGTGTGGGTGCTGGGAAGGGCATGGGGGCTGCCATTGACTCATTCCTGGGTGCGTCTCCATGCTGGGCAGGATCAGCAAGGGCTGGGATGGGGGCAGAGCCCCAGGGCGGGCCCAGCCCGGCAGGGAGCAAAGATCCCCCATGCTGATGGGGTACCTTGTCCGTGCTAGGCAGGCTGCTGTTTCTGTAAAGCTCAGCCCTAGGCAGGGTGGGAGCTTGAACTTTGGAGCACCTGGGTGTGTGGTGCGGCTGGCCAAGGCGCCCTCCTGCCCCTGGGCAAACGGCATTGCCAGAGGATTAGTCATCTGGGAAATCATGGAGGAGCTGCGGGTGAGGTGTTTCTGAAGTGCTGCCGGCCTGGATTTCGCAGGCTCCCTGCGGAGATGCATCCCTGAGCGCAGCCAGAGAGCGCCTGGGCTGAGACTGCTCCCAACTCCCAGGATCATCCCCCATGGGAGCCCCCAGGCCCCGTCCTGCTCCCAGGACTTGCTGTGGGCAGAGCCTGCCGGGGCACCACTGTCCCTCCTTAGGATTTGCTGTTCTGGGAGCGAGGATTTCTCGTTGGCCATCAGTAATGAATTTGCTTTCATGCCTGCAAGTGAGTGATGGGGATTAACACCCTCCTGCCCTCCAAGGGGAGAGGGAGGACGGGTGGGGGTCAAGATGAGATTGACTTTCCTGGTGTCCCCTCTCTCGCTGCAAAGAGGCCCCCTTGTTGACTTCAGTGGATTTTTGGATCAAGCCCTCAAACATTAATAATGATGACTCATAAATCATTGCTTGTGCCACCTGTTTGTCATGTTTCCACCCACAATAACTATATCGAGTGTTTTTATAAGCTGAGCTGGCACGGGGTTGAGCGGTTCTGGGGTAGCACGTTGCGTCTGGATGGATCCTGGCAGCCTGTTTGCAGTGGGAGGGCTTGAGCATGGTGCAACCAGCAGAAAAAGGCGCTCGGGTATCCCGAATGTGTGGGGACGGTGCAGCAGGGCTTCATCTGTTGAAGCATTGGAAGATCAGGGTTGCAGCTGCCCCGTTATCCTCCATATCGCTATGGAGGTGTCGCCCACCCCGTGGCCTTTCATGCTGAAAGTTAACAGATGCCTTCTCGGGCAGCGGGGCTGGGTGCAGGGGCTGCCTCCCCATTTTCTCCCTTTCCCTGCAGCCGAAGCCCGAGAACGCCATCACCATCGCGGTGTCGTCGCGGGCACTTTTCCGCATGGAGGAAGAGCAGAAGATTTACAACGAGCAAGGGGTGGAGGCCTATGTGAAATACCAGCTGGACCATGAGAACGAGCCCTTCCTCCCTGGGGCTGCCTTCCCCTTTGTCAAGGTGAGCAGCCAGCCGCCTAAGCTGAATCTGCACCGTGGTCCTGACCCAGAAGTTTTGGGGAGAGGGGAGTGCTCCGGGGTGCTTGTGTGGGTAAGGGGTGGGAGATGCGTGGCAGAAGGGATGTAGCCACGGAGCAAGCAGAGGTCAAATAAACCTCCTGGCAAGTGATGCGCTTCTTCCAGGACTGGGGAAGCGCCAAATTCTCCAAATTGCCAACTGAGCCCAAGAATTGAAGAAATTGTCTCTTTGGATCATATTTAAAGTTTCCCTTTCGGGAATTCTCATATCTTTTGTTATTGTTATTACAATTTATTTATTCTTTTAAATTGGCTGAATTTAGCCTTGCTACAGAGTCGGCCAATTTCTAATTTCGACATGTTGAAATGAGGCATTTCAGACTTTAAAAATAATTTTCCAATTTCTGCCCTGGTTCCACCGGGTTTAGTGCAGTTCTGCATGCTGGCCCTTGCTGAAGCGTTCTCCTGCCTCTTCCCACTGAATAAACTAATCCACTCGGTGGGAAGAGACTGGTTCTGTTTCAGATTTCTTGAAAAACCACTTATCTGTAAATTTGAGCTAATTTGTTCTCATCTCCTAACAAAAGCTTGAAGCCTTTTGTGTTTGGAAATAGAAGAGTAGCTATGTGCTTTTCTCCCAAAATCAGTCTTTTTTTTTTCCCAGCTAAAGCTGCTTGCTGATGTCAGCTTGGCTCAGGGTGTAGCTGGGGTCAGGCCAGTCCCTGGTTTTGGTGAAGAGAAGTGTTTTTTCTCAGTGAGAAGGGGGTGAGGGCCATGCCTGGGGCTCGCTGACCCCCCCTCCCCTCGCCCCGGGGTGCTGCAGGCGCTGGAAGCGGTGAACACGCAGCTGCGTGAGCTCTACCCCGACAGCGAGGAGCTCTTCGACATCGTCCTCATGACCAACAACCATGCCCAGGTTGGGGTTCGCTTGATCAACAGCATCAACCACTACGGTAAGCTGAGAGCAAAGCTGTCTTTTGCACAGGTGCCGGTGGCGTTTGGGAGCTTGGCAGCAAGAGAAGGAGATGCTTTCTCCTGTCTCTTCCTCCTAACCGCATGCTGAGCCCACTTCTCCCAAATTTCCTGGGCTTTGAGTGGAAGTTGGCTGGTGCTCTGGCTGCCGGCCATGCTGTTGAAGGCAGTACCAAAATTAGCCCCCATCCTGCCGACTCTTGGGAGGCCACAGAAGAGCAGCATCAGGGCTTGTTTGGGGGGCAGTCAGGCTCACCCCGGGGTCCATCTTCCCTCAGATCTGTTCATCGAGAGGTTCTGCATGACGGGAGGGAACAGCCCCATCTGTTACCTCAAGGCCTATCACACCAACCTCTACCTCTCCTCCGACGCCGAGAAAGTGAGTGGGGCCATTGAAGAGGGTGAGTCTGGGGTCTGGCTTGGGGAGGGGCAGCGGGGGGAACCTGGAACCCTCAGGGGGTTGGTGCCAGGAGTGATAGCTCCAATGTCCCTGTCCCTCCATCAATGTGCAGCTAGGGTCTGCCTTGTCCCACATCCCATCCTTGATGCTCCTAAGAACCTCTAGTTTCCATAGAAATAAGGCTTTCCTCGAGCTCCACAGCTCTTGCAAGGCAAAGGCGCTGTTTTTCCCATTACTTCTTGTATGCAGAGGGAGGTTTGTCATCTGGGCATTTGGTTTTGCTGTAAAAGGTCTGGGGGCCAAGCTACAGGGTGCATGCATTCCCTTGCAGTGTTTGCTTCCAGCCCGTCACGTTTTGCTCTGCTCCTCAATGGATAAGCCACGAGGCCGGGTCCTTGGGTAACTGCCACCTCTTGCCTCATGCTTTACCTCCACAGGGATCGCTGCAGCCACCATCTTCAGCCCCAGCAAAGACCTGGAGGTGTCAGAGAACCAGCTGCGGGTGGCATTTGATGGTGATGCCGTGCTCTTCTCTGACGAGTCGGAGCAGATCGTGAAGGCTCACGGCTTGGACATGTTCTTTGAGCATGAAAAGGCTCACGAGAACAAGCCTCTGGCACAGGTAGTGCTGGGGTGCAGCTCGAAAAAGCCTCTGGGAGAGAGACAGCCCGCTGGGGTGTGCTGACCTCTGGGAACAAGCCAGGGGTTGGCACGTGGAGTGTGAGATGGGGTGGGTCAGCAGCCGGGTACTGCTGGCCCACGGGATGGCTGCGGCTGGGCCCCCTCTGC